ACTGAACGCCCTGACGACCTCAAGGACAGAGGAACTGAACACCATGACGACCTCGAGGACAGAGGAACTGAACGCCATGATGACATGTAGGACAGAGGAACTGAACGCCATGACGACCTCAAGGACAGAGGAACTGAACGCCATGACGACCTCGAGGACAGAGGAACTGAACTCTGAGGAAACAAAGGATGGCGTTTGTGTACAGATAATCAAAACTTTTGGCTAATAAAATGCATTTAATTCAAATATTTTATATTTCATCTATTTCTTACATCCACATTGAGGCTTGTTGATAATCTGTATGAGCTGCAGCTGAAGGAACTTGTTGAACTGTGTTTTTGATTTCTTGCTTCAGTAACGGCCTTCATTTATGAGCTCCGTGTCTGTGACGCAGCAACATGTTATTCTGTTGCCGTGTATTATTAATGGTTTCTGTAGCTGTGATGGGATTGATGGGATTAAGAGGTGGATCATTCAGGCAGGACGCCACTGAAGGCTCGGTGTAAAATGCACGGACCGCCACTGCTTCCTGTCTGACGACGACTCGCTGCTGTGACTCATCAGCTTCTCCGACACGCGTGAAGATCGTCAGTCTGAGAGGCAGCAGCATCTTTACGCGCCTCATCAGGCGACAGGTCGACCACACAAACCAGTGTGTTCAAACCAGTTCAGCAGTTCCCGTTCACATCTAGTAAATCCCTGACATCAGGAAGGTTTTATATCATTTTCATTCAAAATACGCAGTTTAATGTTGTAAATAACTGAAAGTCAGGGTTCGGGTGACTTTACAGTAAAACCAGAACAAAAGCCTCCGCGTGGAACCAGTTGAACAACTTTCTGGAACCGTGGATCTATCAGTTCCTCCAGAATGAGCTTCAGAGAAGGAAACGCTCGGATCACAGCTACCCAGCAAACAGCTCATAAACTTCAACGTTTTACTGTTTTAACTGATCGAGGTAACAAAACCAAAGATTATAAAGTCATAAACATGTTGAGATAAACACTGCAGCGTTTTATTTGGTAGACAGATTTCCATCATCCGCTCATCCTGAAACCACTCAGCCTGATCTGCTTCAGTGCTTTTATTTGGCTCAAACCAACTTCATGAATTTAAAGAGAAATAAATAAAAGCTTGAATAGGCTGAAGGCAAAATGACTTCAGAGCAGCGAATAACACCGAAGCACAAAGTTATATAGTCATATTATTACCGGTAGTTTCATAGTCCACTCGTCTGTCTGACTGCGTCGTGCTCATTTCATCTTGGTTTCATTTTTAAGTTTTATTTCTTACAGTCTACAGTTTATGAACAAAGCCTGAATAATCACACGTCGAGCCTGGAAAGAAGGACCTGGGCCCAGAAAGTTGTGGTTCGACTCCCAGCCATTCCCACATGTTGTGGTGTCTCTGAGCAAGACACCTAATCCCTAACTGCTCCCCGGGCAGCTTACGTAGCTGCCCACTGCTCCACCTGGGTGTAGCTCACGTGTGATGGTTAAATGCAGAGAAATAATTTCACCATTTTACGGGAACAGACTATGACGACAATCTCAGACTTCCCTTCCCTCAAGAGCTCATTTGCATTCAGGTTTTGAATAATTCTATTTTTAATCCGTTGTAGCTCTTTGAATAACTTTAGTTTAAAGACAGAGTTTAAACAGAGGTTGACGTAGTTTTTTATGAAGACTTTTCCTGCAGGAAGTGAAGCCAGGCTGCACAGGAAGTGCTACAGCTAGTTATCAGCTGTGAGTTTTCAAAGAACCACAGAAGTCCAGGTAAAGTACTTTGTAAAGCAAAACTGACAGTAGAGTGAAGGTTTATAAAATAATTTGTATGAACTGTTATGAAATTTAAGTCAATTTAAGACGACAGCAAACAGCCTTAATATCATTCAAAGAGCCATCTACAACAGGTAAGATATTAATTAAAGAAGTCAATGTAAAAACACTAATTTAATACAAATAACTTTTTTTTTCCCGTTTCCTGACACAACGTATTGTTTTTATGCCATTAGTGCTTAGTGTATTTTTATTTAATGCTTTGCTTGGTGCATATCTTAGATCTTATTACTGTTTTTCTTTTACATTCTATTGTTGGATGTAACTGGGACCCTGTGTACATAATTTCGTTCCACCAAATGTACCACATGTGATGTGAAAGACAAATAAAGAATCTCTCTCTCAACCCATAAAAAACACAAAATGCGCGGCTCAGTTGACTTTTGGTATCAGAACAATGTACGATGATTAAATTCACCAAGAAACTGTGAAAAATCTCCACATCAGTGGTTTTTAGTGAAGACCCAGTGGTGTTTGGATCTCCAGCTCAGACTTCAGAACCATCATTCAGAGTCCAAACGGGTCACAGGAAGTTGGACTTTCCACGACTGAACGGCAGTTTTCACATCTTTAACTCTTTTTACACAATCACAGCTGAAGTTTACTGATTTGACTGCAGAATTTTCTGCTGTGTGATGAACCCCTCCTTTTTTTTACTCCGTTTCCCCCAAAAAGGCGGGAATCGCTATGACAACCAGTGACTCAGCATATTCTAAATAACCCAGTGGCACTCACATTTCAGGAACAACATCCTTTATATTTATGGGTTTTGAAAAATAAATGTTTCCGTTAGCTTCTGACGTCTCCGTTTGTTGTTTGTAGTTTTTACGAAGTTTTTAAAGTTCTAAATAAACAAAAGAACAGATTCCTGAGGAGTTCTAAGGACGTTATAAATCCCTCCTAGAGTTAAAATCTCTTTTTATTTTTAGCACTCATGAAAGCACTTCTCATGTAAACTGATAAAATATTCTCTCAGTGTCAGTTTATTTAACCTGATCAGGTTGAACTCCACCGTCCTGCCGGTAATAAAGCGTTTTATTGAATTGATCAGATTTACGAGAAGCTCGCGGTGGGGAGGCCTGCTGCAGCCGATATAATTCAACGGAACCATTTTAGGTCTCGCCCTTCATTCCAAAAATCAGCAGAGCCCGACCCAACCCTGTACCTTAATCCTCCAGTAACAACATTTCAACTCGTGATACGTCAACCAGAGGAAGAGCTTCAAAACAAACCGACCGGCAGCCCAGGGCTTTACAAGCCGAGGCAGGAGTTAAAATGACACCAACACGTACACGCAGACACTACCAGCGCTCCTTCTGTGCTGATCTGTGACTCCGACGTGTTAAAACCAAGTTTCCCAGCACAGTCGGTCCGTTTCACGACTCCGACACTTCACCAGCAGAGCATCACTCCAGCTCCTGGGGGCTCCAATCGGCTGAAAGCCGAGTTCCCACTCTAAATTTGACATCTTTAAGCACTTAATTCAGCCATAATAGGAAGTTCCCACCATGTGACTGTTAGAACCGTGAGAGGTCTGGATTTTACACGAGTAAAACTTGAACTTTTAAATCTAAAAACAGCAGAACACGATGAAACGCCGTCTGAGCTGAGGATGAATCAGTGAGGACGAAACTGACGAGACGTTCTCCCCGAGAACAGAAGAAGCACATTTAGGACAAAGAAACAGGACCGCTAGCTTTTTTTAGAACAAGTAGGAGGTTTTTGTGGTTTTAGTCTAATCTGCATGTGATTGTAGGCAGACTGAAAAAAGAAGGAACTCCAGGCATGAACCGATGAAAGATCAGAAAAGAGAGAACTTTATTGATCCCGCTGGATGGGAAGTGAAACATCTTCAGCTACAAAATAAAAGTCCAGTTACTTAGTTTTTTAATCTTTTTTCTGGATTTCCATTAAAACCGTAAAATAAACCTGTGGTACCATCTTTTGCTGTTCACGGGTCAAGAAGTTCTTTGAGCCGACTGCCAGTCTTCATACTGACTGTTTATCTGAGGCTTACTTTTTGTATTCCTGTCTGACGTGCTGCTGTGTGAAGCCCCTCCCCCTTTGAGAATCACTATTACTCAGTAGCTTGATGGTATTCTATATTACCCAGCATGCTTTTCTTCCTCCTGTTTCCTTATAGGTCCTTCATGTCGTCTCTGATCAGACCTTTGACGTTCAGGAGGACTCAGAGGGTCAACAGGTAACAGGAAGAGAACTGAACCTGGAGTTTCAAAATAAAACTCAGATACTCTTCAAAGTAAAATCCTTGCTCTACCATAGCTGACAAAAAGAAAACTTTTGGGCTCTAGAGAAGAAAGGTGATGAGTTTTGGCACCCTCCATTACTTCTGCAGAAATTTTCCAGTTTGGATTTAATTTTCTCGTGTTTAAACTTTTATTTTGTGAAATGTTTTATTCTGAGAGTTTAACTAAATAAACCTGTGCTGTTCAACGTGAACTTTGAGCCCAGAGTTCCTGTAGAAGCTCGGCCTGATCTCTGTGGTCCCCTGGAACCGTCTCAGGTGTTGCTCTCACAGTTTCGGCTGCACTACGTCGGCTTTGTTCAGCTACTTAGCCACGCCGAAATTTGCAAACTTCACCTGCAGTTCAGCTGCTTCCTGCCGCGCTCCACCCTCACAGCTGCTAATCAGCCGCCATGCAAAACAGTCGTCTGATGGAAGGTCTTCTCATGGACTTTTAGCGCTGCAAGGTCTCACCTGTAGGAGCCGGCCAGAACCTCCTCGCAGTCGATGATCAGAAACTTCTCCAGGACCTGACCAGAGAACTTCTTCCCGCTCTTGGTGCAGTACGTGTCGCCGCAAACGCTGCGAATCCGCATGTTCTGCGCACGCACGCACACACACGCACACGCACACACAGAGTTAGAGAAACAGACTCAGAGAAACGGATCATCGGAACAGAACCAGGAAGAACCAGGTCTGTTCACAACTCAGCAGCACAGGGAGACATTTTTTATAGAAACGACTCAATAAATGATCTTTATTATAAAAAAGACAGAATAAATGATCTTTATTATAAAAAAGCCAGAATAAATGATCTTTGTTGGTCACATTCGTGAAGCAGCTCAGAAAGCGCTCGTGTTCATTAAGACGATGATCTGAGTCGTCTCTGCAGAGGAACTGCAGGACAGACCAGGATTACCGTAACTGTTAGTTAACTGTTAGCTAACTGTTACAGGGAAATGCATGAGTAAAATTTATTTTATATTTTTATTTTAATTAATTTAATAGACGTGTATATAATTTGTTTTTAAATAAGATTTTCATTCTAGTGAAATTTAACAATTCATTTAGGTCCAGATAAGACTTCCTTTGGTCCTAGAGCTGGACTGCTGTCTGTCATGTGGAGACCCTGTGTCCCAGGTCCCAGCATCTCAGGACCCTGCGGACCCTGTGTCTCAGGACTCTGTGTCTCAGGACTCTGTGTCTTAGGACCCTGTGTCCCAAGACCCTGCAGACTCTGTGTCTCAGGACCCTGCGTCTCAGGACCCTG